CCTCCCTCCCTCCTTCCTTCATCCTCCCTCCTTCCTTCTTACTCCTCCTCCTCCTTCCTTCCTTCCTTCTTACTTCTCCTTCCTTCCTTTTTACTCCTCCTTCTTTCTTTCTTTCTCCTCCTTCCTTCTCTCCTCCTTTTTATTTTTGGTCCTGGGGTTTCAACCCAGAACACTCTACCACTGAGCTGCATCCCCATCCCTAGTTTTATTTTCTATTTTGAAACAGAATCTCATTAAATTGCTGAGGGCCTTGTATAATTGTTGAGGCTGGCTTTGAACTTGTGATCCTCCTGTTTCAGCCTCCTGGGTTGCTGGGATCACAGGCATGAGCCACATCACCCAGCTCCTCTTCATAAATACTAAAGGGAAGTGGCCGTGGACTCTGATGCTGGGTGACCTTGGGCAATTTAGCCTTCCTGATCTCAGAATTTTAAAAGTACTGTGGGTATTTGGTGGGGGGTGGGGAGACATTGTATAAAGTCCTATGTACACCTTAATTTATAGGATTGGATTTGGGATACCACACATCTTAACTTCAGTAGTGGCAGGATGAACTTGCATGTTCCTACAGACAGATATCCTGCCTTTGACAGTTAGTTTGAGGGTCACAGAAATGGGGGCTGTTTGGTGGGACAACAGACTTATAGCCACATTGCTTTCTCCCTCCTTCCAGTTAGTAAGAGGGAAAGGAAAACAGTCTGTGGTTAGTTTGTCCACTGAAAGTGTGGGTGGGTCACGTGGCAGGTGACTTAAGTCCATCTTCATCTATCCCAGGGTTCTCGGCCACTGTGCTTTCAACACTGTGGTGGTTGGTGGACTGTGCTGTGCCCTGCAAGGTGTTGAGTGGTATCCCTGGACCCTCTCTGCCAGCTGCCAGGAGCACCCCTTCAAGTTGTGACAACAGGGTCACCACATGTTACCAAGTGTCCTTCAGAGTGTAAACCCTGGCCCTTTCCTTAGCCCGCTAGTGAAACCCCTAGGCTGAGGTTCTCCCTGGAAGGCCACAGAGAACCCTGGGCCTTGGCCTTTGATAGTCTATCATGGGGCTTTTATTAAAGACTTGGTCTACACATATATGTGGAATGATGAATAGGAAGTACAATGTGGCTAAAAACCTTTTAGAGATTGACAAACTCGGAATTGTTGTTTCAAATAATTTTAAACTAGCAAAAATTGATATTTACCTGAGAAGAGAGAAGGCTTCTCTGGTGAAGGACTCCTTTATTCTTGCCCATTGTTCCCAGTTTGTGCCCTGCCCAGTTGACTTCATGACCAATGCTGTCCAAAGAGGCCAGGAGAAAAGGGGCTGCTATGCCTGGACGGGACTGACATCCCGGAGGGCCGTGCTGCCTGGGAGCAGCGTAGGGGGGCTGACTGACCTTGCAGGCCAGGCTGTGAGAGGCGAAGTGAGCACAGACCAGGAGGCAGCTGCTGTGGTGCTGGACGGTGGGTGGGCTAGGTGCAGGTGTTCTTGTGGGATTCAGAACAGTCACAGGCTGAAAGTGGTCGCTGCAATGTAGACCAGCAGGGAGAGGACCCTGTTTGTCTCTGAGACTCCAGCGCCGAGGACCACTCAGTGTGCAGGCTGCTCCTAGTGTTTCTTGAAGGGTGGAGGAGGCCTATGAGAGGGACAGAGCAGGGCTGGTCCACTCAAGGGCCTGGGGAGGGCAGTGGGCTTGCAGTGTGGGTGGGGAAGGAACAGGGCGGGGCCAGAGCGACCACAATGGCAGCTGCCACCGGTGCTCCTGCCTCGACAGGTCTCCCACGGGCCAGGGCCAGTCTAGGTGCTTCCCTTACATTTAAGCTTAATCATGATAGTTCAAAAAATCTGAAAGGCCTGGTGTATGAGACAAAAGAAAGCTGAAATAAACACCTTGACAGACGGCGCTTCACGCGTGGGCCCGATTCCCACACTGCCCCTGTTATCTCCTGCCTCATTCTCCTCCCTGCAGAGGTGATGGTCACGCAGGGTCCCCCACCCACTTCACTCACCCCCTGGTCTTCTCTAGGCTTTCTCTTGGGATTGGGTTTTCATTTTGGCAAATAGCTCCTTGTGTCAATTGCTGAGCTTTCTCTTGCATGGAGGAGACATTTACTGAACCTGATAAGATCCGAAAGTGTTATTTCAGATATCTGAAATAACACAAAGCGAGACTTACCAACATGTCACCGTCCCAAGCTTTAGGTCAGTCGGAGTGTTCTCTTCTCTGGTGCAAGTGAGATCTCTTTGAAAGAAGCGGTTGTGTAGAAAACTCAGGATCTCCTTGAGGGGAAAGCCCAGAGCCCACGCACAGCTGTGGGAGGAGCACGGTGACTCCAAGTCGTCTTCCCTGCATTTGGATGATTGCTTTCCATCTTGTTTCTTCAGGAGAACCCATTAGCAGTGAGCACTTTCATCGAGCTGTCAATGTGAATGATGAAGATTTGCTTGTTCAAATACTTGAAGGAGGGTGAGAGAACTCTGCCAGCTTATTTTTTTAAAATATATGAAGTGCATAGAAATATGTGATATAGCTTTATTTTATTTTCCTAAAAATTCCATGCCATTCAAACTGCCTTCAAAATTGATCTCAGGTGCCTGGTGTGAGTTAAAGCATAGTCAATAGAGCCGATCATGAAGTCCCATATCAGTGTCATAGTCATTATTTAATGAAAATTGCAAAAGGTAATTATAAGTCTGGGTGTTATATTTATTCCCCGAAATAATTTCTGTCCCTTGTTTATATGCTATAGCGTTTAGGCAAATTTTACTCCAAAAATAGTCGCACCTAATTCTGATGAGATTAGGGAATCAGTAAATGAGCTGCCTTCTAATTGAGGAGGTTGGTAGGACACTGGAGAAAGATGGTGGGCACAGCTGCTGCGGATGAGAGGCGCGAAGCTGCCTCCCAAACGCAAAGACGTTATCTAGGTTCCTTTTTAGTCAGTAAATTTTTGAGCTACTTATGTGACAAGTGGTTTGTGAATTGGGGCTCTGTGAGTTGGAGCAGAGAAGGTTCCTACAGAAAGCCAAGCTTCTGAGCTGACAGTAAGAGCTCTGCTTTCCTCTGACAACACTGATTTATATCCCGTAGGTGAGGTGGAAGTCGAGGGTTAACCTTGGGTCTCCACCAATATGGGCTTGTGGTTGGGAGAGCTACGGAAGTCTGCAGTGAAGACACTGTCCCCTGCCACCTTCAAGAGGCTGTGTCTGTCATAGTGAGTTGTCCACGGCACCATGGCTTGAATTGAAGGGAATGTCCATTTTATGTGAACTTACAATTTTTCTTATAAATTTGAATATCTAAGAATACTAGGCAGGGCATTCTAAACAATAAAAACTTGATGGCCCAAAAGAAATGGGGATTTTTGGTAAAATGAGCCACTGTAGCCTCCTGTGCCTTGCAAGTGTCACCAGCTACACATCTACACGGAGCTGCACTAAGCATATTGATCTCTTTTCTCTGTTTTTCCTCAAGCCATGTCAAGGTTGATGTTCCCAATAAGTTTGGCTTCACTGCTCTGATGGTTGCTGCCCAGAAAGGATATACCAGGTACGGCACTTTGCTCAGCCCGAGTGACGGGTTGAACATGTCCCTTCCCCCAGAGGCGCCAGTCGGGATGGGGATGGAAGGGAGTGGGTCCAGGGAACCTAGCTCCTTTTCTCTTTCCCAAACTGATCCCTCTGAGTTCAGCTGCTTTTATCATAAAGCTATATAGCATGCAGGAGAGAACATCAGGTGTGTGGTTGTATATTAGGGAAGAGAGGAGCCAATTAATTCCGTGCAATTTATCTTATATCTCCTGGGAATACTGGCTATTGGAATTTGAATTTCTTCAAAGCAATTTAAAAAGGATAGGTGAGGAACGTTTTGGAAAACAAATTTCCCTGGTAGGTGCCAAGATGTGATTTTGGTAACACAATCTATTATCTGCCCCACAAAGTTAGGTATAATGCTTACATCTATTTCCCAAACATATTTATATTTTGCTTAATACAATTGCATTTTGAAAAAATAGAAATGTTTTTATTAAATGCTGTCATTTTAAAAAAAAACTGTTAAAATGATAGTTTTGAGAGTCTGAGTTGTATCATGTGGGTAGTTTGATTTATTGACTAAGATAAAAGTATAAATCTGTTTTTTGGTGTGGTGGGGGTTTTCCAGCTTAATAATATCCTGTTCTCAAAACCAGCTGTCTTTTGAAGTTGGAGAAGGTGTTGCAGGATGTGATATTTACTGCGTTATCACAGGTTCCACGTCATCCAAGCCATTTACCTGTATTTTCAACTTTGTTTCCTTTAGGCTTGTGAAAATCTTAGTTTCTAATGGTACAGATGTGAATCTGAAGAATGGCAGTGGCAAGGACAGGTAGGAGGGCGTGACTGAAACTGTGTTACTCGGCTGGAGCCCAGAGGGTTTCTGACCCTTTAGCTTCTTTTGGAAGTACCAGAAAGCAAGTGGGTCCCAAAGGAAAGGTGGTGAGAACAAACCTGGTCTGTCCACTGAGACTCTCATTCATCAGGGTGTTTGGGGGGAATCGGTCACACTATTTCTGCCTTCTCTAGCCCAGTAAAGAACCCTTAAGACGGCATCCCATCTCTGCGCAGGCCTTGGCTACGAGCGCTGCCCCAGATCTGTGTTCCTCTCTCGGCGCTCTCCTTGCACCTCAGCCCCTCTCTGTTTACTGAGAACCCCTGGTGTTCTACAGAAGTAGCCAAAGACACAGCATCAAAAATACAACCACAAAACTTTCCTGAAGTTTCCATCTGGACTGGCCGAGGGCAGTACAGGAAAAGTTCATGGAAAGAGTGTGATGCTTGTAAAGGAGAGGTAAAAGAATCTTTTTGAAAGACTGAAGTACTTGACAATTTGGATCTAATTAGTTCATCCAAACCAACCAACATTTATTGAATAACTCACACATGCCAGGCACTGTGCTTGGTGCTTGGGTAGAAGAGGGAGCAAAATGCAGAGGTCTGTTCTCAGAGCTCAGGGTCACAGCATGCACACAGACCACAGGTTAGGACACCACATGTGACTATCATGGGATAGCGTAAAACACCAGTCATCTATAAGTGGCTCTGCAGGGAACACCACTTTCTAAAGCCAGAAAGCTTACCTACTCTACTCTTGGACACAGTGCAGTAACAGATTTTAAATGACATTTAAAAACTTAAATCTGAAAAGTATTTTCCAAATAATTAGGCTAGTTGATGGCTTAGTTCCAAATTTAAAAAGTTTAAAAAGAATAATGACAATTTACAAAGAAAAAGGGACAGGGGAAAAAAAGGAAAGAAAGAAAGAAAGAAAATAGAGATAAAACTTAATTAACCAAAAGTGAAAGATTATTGAGAAATATAAGAGTTGCCTCTTAAATAAGAACTTGTATGATAACATAAAACAGTCTCTTGTAAATCTAAAACAAAATTGGAAACATGGAGGGAAAATAACAGGAAATTTACACATGAAATGGTGCATTTGTGTCTAATAGATTTGATAATTTCATTGAAATGGATACTTTATTGGCGAAACTTTAAACCACCAAAATCAACCGTGAAGCAGAAAATCTGAAATAACCTACATCTATACAGAAAATTAGAAAATTTATGGAAGCATAGTTTCTGTGGCTTAACTATCCCACCATTAGTTTCTAGGGACCATTAATAATCTTGAGCTTTTCCAGGGCATAGAGGAAACTGCAAACCTACCTATTGCCAAAACCTGGTAGTAAGAGAAGGATACCTGTGGGTGTGTTTGTAGGCATTGACAAATCTCCTCCTTCAACTCAGAGCATTAGGAAGGTAAGGAAATGTAGTATTAGATTTCCATGCTAACACTTCCCACCAGTAGGTTAAAGGTGACAATGAAAATAGCATCAACTCAGTGCCTTAAATGAGTAACCCAGTGTCTTATTTTTTAAAGTGAAGGATGCTTCCAACCCCCCAAGTGTCTGGTACATGGCTGGTGGAAATGTATATCAACACTTAGCAGCATACAATAGGTTTGTGTTTTGTTTTTTGAGGCAGGGTCTCACTGTGTTCCCACAATGGCCTTGAACTCACAAACTAACTGCCTTGGAGTTGCTTGGATTACAGGTATATGACACTATGTGTAGCACCATACAAAGTTAGAGAAGATCCCAGACAGTTAGCCAGTGTCATTCTTGGCATTGGCGAATTCCTTTTCTCAATGATAGTGACACCCATCAGAAAGGTGTAAAGAGCACAGGCAAAGCAGACATCTCGATGTCCAATCCTGATCCCGGTATGGATGCCGTGTGTGACCTTGGGCAGGTTACTTACTTTCTCTGAACCTCTATAAAATGGGGAGGAGAGAAGTACTTTATGATTGTATTGTTGTGAGCATTTATTGAGTTTAATATATGAAAAGTGTAAAACAGCACTTGGAATATGGTAATGTTACGGCAAGATTCCAATAAATCACTGAGTCGATCTTAAAGCAGGAGATGGAAACTTTATTCACCAACTGCAGATCCGGATCCATCAGCTGGTGGGCCAAGGGGTAGGTTGCAAGTCTACACCCTTCAAACTCCTCTTGGGGTTTGAGTACACCTTTTATAGTCCAAAATCATTTTAATCAGAAGTGGCTGTTGTTCAAAACCATAAACGTCATGAGATCTAAAATCATAAGCAAAAAAGGGAGTGGACCAAAATGTCCCTAGTTGAGTACAAGTTAAAGAATGGTCACTAACATCTGGACAATCAATCTCTGACAGGCTACATTGCCCAAGAAAAATGGGAACCAAAGAGAGAACACTTTTACATTGTATAAGAATTGGCATTTTGTGTTGCTAAACATGCTATGCTAAGCAACTAGTGATGGGTACAGCGGCAGGGCTTTCCCATGGGAGAAGCATTTCTTATATGACATGGAATCTCAGGGAAAAATGGAGTCTCTTTGGTCATTGCCCTTATAGTCTGGCTCATAACGGTAAGTATAGGTTGTGTTTTGTTAACTCATGATCGGCCAGTACTTTGGAAGTCTGATCATCTTGGTGAGATGTGAAATAAGAGTGTGATTCCTGTCCTGCAGAACCCAAGAGAATCAACTTTCAAATATTTGGACTTAATGAGGAGGTTCAGTTATATGACCAACTATACAACAAAAATTTTAAATACCCAAAATTACTGCTTAATAAATATAATAAGAAAAATAAAGTATAATAAAATATTTCTTTTAAAAGCAAGATATTTGCTGGGTGTAATGGTGCATACCTATAATCCCAGCAACTCAAAGGCTGAGGTAAAAGGACAGCAACTTCAAGGCCAATCTCAAAATAAAAACATATAAAAAATTAAAAAATATAGCAATAAATAAAAGGACTGAGATGTAGTTCAATGGTAAAGCATTCCTGGGTTCAATCTGCAGTATTAACCAAAAAAATTTTTTTTTTGAATGAAAAACTAAACCTATACAACTATATTGAGAGAGAGAAAGACTTAAAAAAAATAGACATATTTTAAGTTTTTCCAAATTAACATACAGATTGAATATAGCTTCAAATGGAGTTATTCCTGGAAACTTGTCAATAGATGATAACAGCTAATGTAACTTTGTTATAGAGGACTGTGGAAAGATTTGCCTTGGCAGTTATTAAAACGCCCTAAAACTTACAGTAATTAAAGTAGTATGGTACTGGAACCAATAATTGGAAAAGTAAATAGAATGGAATAGAAATCCTAAGATAGATCCCCGTAAGAACTTGGTATATGATAACAGAAGCAACACAAATCAATAAGAAAAGTTTTGGAAAAATAGGCTTTTTGAAGAAAAAAATATTAAGTTAGATCCTAGCCTTAAAGCATGTACCACAATTTCTTCCAGGTGAATGAAGTATTAAATGTAAAAAAAAAATCATAAGCTACAAGGAAGGGGCATATGCTTATCTGATCTTGTAATATGAAAGCAAAAGAATGAAGGAAATCAGTAGGAAAAAGATTGTGCATATATCACACACTTTAAAGAACTAAATTACAGACACAGTTAAGGGTAATCTGAGGGGATATTTGAATGTCATAGACATGTGATGAACATCTTCAGTGTGCAGAAGTCAGGCACACAGACACAACACTGAACAAACAAACATCTCTACACAGTAGGAAAAAAGCAATTTAAGTGAAAAGACAATTTTAAAGCAAAATCACTGTAAACAATTTGTATGAAAAATGTTTGACTTGGCTAGAATAAAAAATACCACCTGTAACATTTGTAATTGGAAAAGGTAGAGTAAATAGATGTTTTCAGAAAGTGTTGATAGAAGTGTAAATTGATATAACCTTTTTGGAAAGCTATTTGGAAATATGCATTAAAAGTCAGTCACAGTCATTGACAAGAGATTCTACTTAAGGAATTGTGCTCTCAGGAAGCAGTCACAAGTGTGAGTAGGATTCACCTAGTAAGGGTACAGTGTGCCTGAACTTGACAGCTACACTTACAGCCAAATGCTTCTCCCATGTATTGCAGTCTTATGCTTGCGTGCTACGCGGGACACCTGGATGTTGTGAAATACCTCCGCAGACATGGAGCCTCCTGGGAGGCTAGAGACCTGGGCGGCTGCACAGCTTTGCACTGGGCTGCGGATGGAGGCCACTGCACTGTGATCGACTGGATGATAAAGGATGGCTGTGAGGTACAGGGCCTGCCTTATTAGCCACACAGGACTGTTAGGAACCTGAAATTCCATTCCACAGGGACTAGGAGAGTCAGGACCTTTGATTGGCCCAACTTAGAAATGATGGAGAAAGATCTCTGACCTAACTTAGAAATGATGGAGAAAGATCTCTGACCTATCAGTGAGAAAACTCCTGAAATCTTAGAAAAAAAGAGATCATTGTGGCATTGATTTGACAGTAAGGCTTCCGGTTATCTTGGATTTTGGTTTCCTCTAGGAAGAAGGAACGAGGCTGGAATCGGAGCTGGACCAGATGTGTCTACTCCTTTGTTTATTCCTTTGTTCATTTGCTTATTTGTCTCTTATGCAGCCTGCCGCCAAGGCTTCACTGAGCATCTTCCACCTACCAGATATCATCTTAAATGCTGCAACACAAAGATGTTAAGAGCTCTCCCAGGCTCAGCAGTTGTTGTTGCTTCTAAAACTAGATCATTTTTACTTAGTTTGCATTAATCATTATAGTTTCCAAAGGACAAGTGGCCATGTGAAGAATGGAGGCTCTCAACTGTCAATCTTTACCCAGGCCTGTAGATTTGCTTGTGTTTTCATGTCAGCAGGAGGTACAAATCTGATTTAGCAAATAGAAGTCATGTTGTATGAACTTCTATAGATATGTGAAAATGGCTAGTTATAATTAGATCAATTATAGTAACTGCTGATAGCTCTGGAAATTCTCCAAAGGCTTGGACTAAAGATTTCAAGGCATAGAAATAAAGAATGACGGACAAAATGCCATGCTAACTGATTACCAGGCAGCACAGAGTCCTGAGAAATTAAATTGATGACCTGGAAAATCAATCCAATTCGAGCAAAGTCACATCTCCCAGAAGATGGTAGTATATTTATTCTAGTTTGTTCCCAAAGTGTGACTGAAAGAAAGCAGGTCTTATGCTGTGGAATCTCACTGGTTCCTGCCACTGCTTTGGGAGGGTGGAGAAAAAGGCCCCCTTGAAGGGAAAAAAATTCAGTTATTAAGATAAGCCCTTTTTCTTACCTTTCATGTTTCCTTATATTTTAGAGACATGCACAAGAGGTCAGAAGGCTTCGCCTCTGTGTGCTAGCAATAACACCATGTTCCCCTGGTTTGGTTTATGATGAGCCGCATTCTGCTCTGGACCCAGTAAGAGTCTGATTAAAGAAAATCAATCAATCTCAGATGATTGAAGAAAAGGATCCAGATGAGGGCAGGTTTCTGCTGTGAGCATCTCAATACTGGAGCTCTGGAAATGTAGGCTCTCTGGGCTTCAGACGAGCCCAATTCTCTGGGATAAATCCATCATCCAACAGAAGCTGTGTTGCAGATAATAAATCCATAAGTGTAGGTGTGTGTGCTGAAGATCTCCGTGGGGCTGGCTAGTGGGGGTGTCAACGCATTTCTGTGTGCTTGCAGATGGCTCACCTGAGACTTCTGAAGACTGGAGCCCAGCAGGGTGTAGCCGCCCCGTTCCCAAGTGTGATGGTTTTACACTGAGAGTGAATGACTTACTTCATTAGGGAACGTTTCTACCTATGAGCCATGTGACTTCTGAGGTTTGGTTTGATCATTTCTAAACCAGAAGTAGAAATACCTACTCCTGCTTAACCCTCGGAACCAAAAGAGAAATTGTGTGGGAGTGTGCTGGGAAGCGTGGGCGGCAGCTGGTATCCCGATTTCGGTATTGGAATGGGATGAGCTCTGGCCTGTAGGTGGTTTGTTTGCACCAGGGAGAGCGCTGCTGCAGTAGGTCATCTCCTGCCAGGCCTGTTCGCCATTCTCCTCTCAGGCTTCACTAAAGCTGGGCCTTCCGAGTCATTCTTTCAGTCTGTGTGCGAGGGTCGGCTCGCCCGTGGCTTCAGCACCTCTCTTCATGGGTTGGTTAGGGCTTCGATGGAATTATGAGCAGCAACATTTGCACTTTCTCATTCTACAGCATTTCATTTAAAACACTAAATTGATAGAGTTCAGTGAGGAGCAGATGTTTGGGAAGTGACCAGCCGTATTACTTCTTGGAGAGGCATTGGGTAGTGGCTCTTCAGATTGGAGTTTGTGTAATGGATCTGGTCACTGTGCTTACTGTAGTTCTCCTGCTTTGAACAGAAGTCTCGTTAAACACAAGGGTGTGTACATATCTTGTTCCAGAAAAGAACTGAAGCCCACCTACAAAGATGCACAAAAATAAGCATTGTTTAGATGGGTGAAGAAAGCTAGGCCAGGGAACGCAGTTCAGGGAGTTCCCATGGGCCAGGAGCAAGGTGCCAGATGAAGAGCCACCCCAGCCTGGCTGCTTCTGCACCTCACAGAAGGAAGGTCCGCTTGCCCCGACTCCCCGACTTAGTGGCAGCCTGTCAAGACTCGGTACAGGTTCCCTGGACTGCATTCACCTGATTCTCACCTAGGTGCAGTGAGAAGATGCAGAAGAATCACATTAGGGGGGTCCCCCTCTCAGCAGACGCCCTAAGGTGATTCTAACACATCTATCTTATCACTGCACCTGGGCAGGGATTGGGCGAGAACCTGCACCCAGCCTGGACAGGCTGCCCGCTGAGTCGGGGGAGTGGGGGCAAGCGGACCTTCCTTCTGTGAGCTGGAGAAGCAGCCAGGCTGAGGCAGCTCTTCATCTGGCCCACAGGTGGATGTTGTGGACACTGGTTCAGGGTGGACGCCGCTCATGAGAGTCTCTGTGGTGTCGGGCAGCCAGAAGGTGGCCTCGCTCCTCATTGAGGCTGGGGCTGATGTGAATGTGAGAGACAAAGATGGGAAGACGCCGCTCATGGTACGCCTTTCCCCGGAGGCCAGAGCTTTTCTACGATGGGACCTTCTTGTGAGTTTGGTGGCTCATTCCCAGGCCCTGGGTTTGGTTGCGTGTGCTCCTGCCAGCCAGCCTTTTAATAAAGGTATGAGGGGGTCACTTTTTTACTATGAGGTCTCATTAGATTGCTTTGGCTGACCTCAAACTCCTGGGCCCAGCGATCCTGCTGCACAGTTGGAACTATAGACACACACGGCTGTGCCTGGCACTGTGGTGTTTCTGTCGTCTTTCAACAAATCCTCCTTTAAGGATTGTCAGCCTTGGTCCCTAGGGCCACGGTAGGATGAAAACAGATCAAAACAGCTGGGTTCCGGTGCTGGCCTGGTCTTCCCAGGGTCATTTCAGTGGGGAGAGGGAGGTGGCCCTTCCCTCATCCTAGCAGTTGTGCTGCCCTAGATGCAGCAGCACACAGGCCTGGCAGGCAAAGCTGGTGACCCAGCCAGCTCTGCCCTCCTCAGCTGCGGGGCCCTGCATTTGCCCGGGCACCCTTCCTGCGCCTGCACCCCGGGGAGGGGAGCGGGCCTCCCGCAGCACTGCTATCTTTCAGGTGGCTGTATTAAATAATCACGAGCAGTTGGTTGAGTTACTTCTTGACAAAGGGGCAGATGCAAGTGTGAAAAATGAGGTAAATAATCTCTATTGAAAGATTTTCCTTGGGGAAGAAAGAACTATATCAACGTGTATATAAATATATGCTTATGTACATTCTAATCTATATTTTCATTGCTTCCTCTTTCAGTTTGGCAAAGGGGTCCTAGAAATGGCCAGAGTGTTTGACAGACAGGTGGGGATGCCCTTCTGCCCAGCAAGGCTAATTTTGTAGTGCTTTCCAAATCACAAAACCCACCAAAAGCTGGGAGGACATTCACTTGCTTGTCTTGTTTTTCTAGAATGTAGTCTCCTTATTAGAAGAAAGGAAAAAAAAGCTGCCTCGGAAGTCCTGTGTCCACTGATCAGAGCACCAGCTGCCTGAGAAATCCAAGCAAAATAAAACAGAGTGACTGTTGAACTGGACGTGATATTCTGCGTCCTTGAGGGCTGTATATTTATTTATTTAGTTGAAGACTCACAGTATTTTTTTTTGTAACAGACAGCTATTCCCACATTGAAATACATCTTTTTACCTAAGCACGCGCACATGTGTTCTCATCATTGGGCGTCTATAGAGCAGGACTGTTTTCTTGCACTTGTGCTTTGGAGTTAGACGTGAAACAAAATATTTATGCACTGGCGCTACATAAACATGCATGGGGCCTCCTGGCTTCTGGCCTGCAGCTGTCCTCTGAGCCACTGCAGGCCCCTGGCGCGCTCTCCCTCATGTGTTTTCTGTTATCCGCCCCCACCCCCCTGGGCCGCACTGCCAGGCTGCGTCCCCCTGTGCAGTGGTGCTCCTCCTTGGAGTCCAGGAGTCTTCTCTTCGGCTCTTGGCCTCACATCAAAGCTCGAGGTGCTTATCTCAAGACTCCGGTCCTGTCCTGCTCATGGTGAATGGTCCAGGTCAGTCTTTGCAGAGTGGACCTGTCTGTGCGTGTGTGTGCACATGCTGAAGCTCTGATAAGGAAAGCCCCAGCTGCCGGATCTGATGACTTTGCTGAAACGTAGAGCAATGTACTGAATTTAGTCTTGAAAGCAGAGAGCTTTTGAAGCTGAGGGCGCAGTTTGTAGACAGTTGGGGTGACTGCAAAAGGACTGCTGGTTGGGAGCTTAAGACAAACTCGGTGGAGCTTTCCCTCAGCAGAGGTGTTAGATGGCCTACCATATGCATTTCTCCTCCTCAGAGACAAACTAGTTAACTTGGCCTCTGAGTAGACCAGCTGCAGAGGTCTGCACAGGACTGAGATTTTTCTGGATAATGGAGAGACCGGTTAAAAGGTCATTAGAGCTCCAAAACTTTTTAAAAATTCATTTATTTTTTATTAGCTACACAGGACAGTACAGTGGTCTTGACAATTCATCCATTTGAATCAAACGGGGTATAATTTCTCATTTTTCTGATTGTACAGGTTGCAGAACCACATTGGTCATACAGTCACTTATACACATACAGCAGTAATAAGTGTATTTGATTCTGCCCTTCCAAAACTTTTGAGAAGGGGCATAGAGAAAACACATGATTAATTTTATTGATGCTAGCAATTTTCAGCTCTGTTCCATATAGTTTATGGAACATTCACCTTAAGTTGATTCATTGGCATTTTACCTTTTGTACAAATGCATCTCTCTATATTTGCTAGATTTGATTTTAAAACCTAAAAATCAGAGCATCTTCACACTTTGTAAAGCCTTCCTCTCCCTTTTCCAAGGTCATTGTCAATGTCCCCCTTGATTCTATGCTTTGGTCTGTTGTAGGTTGCGTTTGCTAACCAGGCATGTTCGGCCCATTCCTTCTGGCTGACACCAAGCTTGGCCATGTCTTGTACCCTCTGGGCTAGGTTTCGAACCATCCTCACACCAATGAGACTGTCTGGTTGGTTATGGCGGGCTGTTGGGTTCTATGAGCTTATGTGCTATGTCTGTTTGCTCTTTCTCTTCTTTTTGCTTAATGATATTTGAAGGTGGTTAATAGCCTGTTTTAATTTTCCTTAGGAGCAACTCATGGTTTTATTCGTTTTCTATTTTATAAATTCATTTCTTCTGTTTTTTGTTTTGTTGTTATCAGGGATTAAATCCAGGGGCTCTTAACCACCGAGTCACATCCCTAGCCCTTTTTATATTTTATTTAGAGACAGGGCCTCATTGAGTTGCTTAGGACCTCACTAAGTTGCTGAAGCTGGCTTTGAACTAGCGATCCTCCTGCCTCTGCTTTCCGAGTTGCTGGAATAACGGGTGTGTGCCACTGTGTCTGTTAATAATGAGCATTTTGCAGTTCTGGCTTTGTTATTATTTGTTACTGTGTTGGTGCTGGGGATGGGACCCGGGGCCTTGTGTGTGGTGGGCCAGCACTCTACCCCGAGCTATATTTCCACCTTCTTCTGTTCCCTTCACCCCCAGGAGGCTTATTTTGTTGTCCCTTTTATGACTTTTTTGTTAGGCATTAAGTCCATTCATTTTCATCTTTTTTTGCTTAGTAATACATATTTAAGGTCTATGAATTTTCCCCTAAGCACTGTTTGTTTTATTACTGTGAGAATTTTTTTTTCTAAGCCTTCTTGATCCAAAGATTCAATTGTGAGTGTTTTAGTCGGCTTTTGTGAAGCTGTGACCAAAAGAAACCTGGAAAGAACAACTTTGAGGAGAAAAAGTTTATTTTGGCTCACGGCTTTAGAGGTTCAGCCTATGGTTGGCCAATTCTATAGCTCTGGGGCCTGAGGTGAGCAGAAAATGGTGGCAGAAGGGTGTGGCAGACAAAGCGGTTCAGGGAATGACAACCAGGAAGCAGGGAGAGCTCTGCTCTCCAGAGAGGAAACAAACCCCAAAGTCACGCCCCCAGGGACCCACCTCCTCCAGTCACACCCCACCTGCCTACAGTTGCCACCCAGTTAATCCCTATCAGTGGATTAATCCACCATTAGGTTATGGCTTTCATAATCTAATTATTTCACCTTAACATTCTTGCATTGTCTCACACATGTGCATTTGGAAGACTCCGCATATCTAAACCATTACAGAGTACTTACTAAATACAAGTTTCCTGGGCCCATCTTGGGCTCACTGGATTGGAATGTCCCAGGAAAGGGACACCCACAATGGTGTGGGTGAACAGGCACCATTCTCCTATGGGTAAGGGACCTTAACACGTATCACAGATGAGTTCTTATAGTGCAAGGATTTTTGAGAAACATACCCAGACCGTGTGCTATTTCAAATGTTCTAATTCGTTTTCTTCTAGATAATCTGTAATACACTTTTGACTAAACAATCATTACATTTCTAGAACACAGCATTATTTTTTTTTTTTTTTTTGAGGATTTCTTACTCCCCCCGAGGCACTTGGAATAAAGTTCTATTCTGTGTGTTTGGAGTATCCCATCCCATAAACTTATTCCCTAGATTTAAGGTCATCCTTGCACTTATATTGTGTCTAGTTTGTCGTGAGTGGAGAGTGGTAAGAATAAAGACCTTTTGTTCTTGTTACCATTTTGAATAATATGTGTTTTCTGCAGTTTTTCTTTATGAAGTTGGGTGCTATTTTTATAATTTATAAGTATTTATCCATCACATTTAGATTTTCATTGCCTGTTTGTTTGATATGTCTCTACTGCTACTTTTTGAATTTCTCTTACCTGAATAAGGTAAGTTTTAAAATGTTCTTCTCTGGGTTATGAATTAATGTTATTCAAATAATCAGTTTCCCCCCACTTATCAATGGTGTGGGTGAACAGGCACCATTCTCCTCATCTGCCCAGTCCCTGATGATTGGCAGATGCACCCCTTGCTTATCACCCATCCCACCTACTAGCTGTTCTTAATTTCTTGTGCATTGCTCCAAAATGTCTTTATGCACTTATAAACAAATGAGAATATAGATACATTTTTTTCTACTTGAGTTCTTCCCTCCATTTTCATAATATCCTCAATAACAAACAAGACACTCTTTATATTTACCTGTTTATCATTTATTGGATATAATATTCTTAACAATGACTTTTTATTGAAATAGCAAGTTGTGTTTACCTATAGATCCCCAATATGAGAAACGTTTACAAAAACAACAGAATGTAACATAAAAAGGTATGTGAACAAATTAGCAAACCAAAGCATTATAAATGGTTGAAGCACTACAGAATGACTGTGCTGGTTGATGTAGCTGTAACTCTAATCTGTACTGTGCTAAACAGCCTGTGGTCAAGTTAAAGAATGGCCTTTCAGCTGCCACACGCCTTCAGACACAGGCTTCCTGACCACCTGCCAATTTGACCCTATAGAAGGAGCTAAGGAGCCGCTAGTTGTGCTCCCACCTGTCCTGCCTTGGAACCTTAGGGGTCGTTGTCTTTCTAACTTGTTTTTCCTGTGGCTGCCCTATGAAGGGACCTGCTTATGACTGTGAACACAAAAAAGGGATTCTTCTTTCTTGAAAACTAAAATGATCACATGATATTTATTCTTTTGTTTGAATTTAAATATGCTAAATTGACTAAAAAATTTTCTTTGAGAGTTACAAAGAACATAGGACAAACTTCTTGAAGATGATGTGGAAAATCAGGGTGAGTTACAGGGCCTTCAGCCTGGGGAAACCGAAGCAGTTTGAGAAGTCCTTTGTTCAATCTTTTGGCTGTCACTCTCCATTACCAAGGATTTTAACAGGCTCTATGCAGTATTTTAGTTTTTCTCATATGAAACGGGTTTATAATGACTGGATTTGAAGCTTCCAGAAGTAAAAGGGGGGCTTCCTCTACAAGAGGCAGGGAAGAGGCACATGCTCATGTGGGTAAATGGCTTGTGGAAATAATCTTCACTGTACAGAAATGGTTCTGAGCATGCGGCTCACAAATCTTAGTGTTTTGTATTTCACTTATTGGAATTTTCAAACAAGTTTAAAAGTAATACCTGTCGATGGGAACTTTGGAGTGACTCAGAGCATTTTGCATGCATAGCTAAATTGATTTCCTATGGCCAACTGCCCCTTCTCATTAGAACAAGGCATGGGGCGGGAGGTCACTGTGATTGATGTGCTTGCAGGAGGGATCTGCAGGGGTCTTGGGTGCTGGCGGGGGTTGCTCTGAGCTGTGATTCTGGACAATGTTGGGCGTTGGATGTCCAGTAGGTGGACCCCATGGGGCTGCCATACACTGCAACAGATGCCACTCAGGCTGATCTGAAGTAGTGACTTCACTGCTGGGATTGCAGGGCCCTTGACACTGAGTTTGGCCCAAGTTAGGCACTTGTCTGGTGACAAGGAAAGGCAAACAGATTTGAGCTTCTGGCTTACTGTGTCCAGGTGAGAGGATGCTGATGACACATGGGGAGTAACTGGCAGCACGGGTATGGAGAAGATGATACCGGCAGTGTCCCCCAGAGTCGGTCACTGTGTGTGTGAGACTTCCAGCCTAAGTGGCTTCTGGGAGGGCTGGTGGAACATTCATCTGGGTCACTTGCATGTGGCTAGAGCCATTGTGAGAGCAGTGAGGAGGGTTCTGCAGAGTAAGTCTGCCCTGGACTCTAGCAAAGCTTAAGAATGAAATGGGTCTCACTAGGAGAGTCTGCAAGAGATCAGGGTGCATGAGGACAGTCTGGCCCAGCTTCCCAAGCATCACACCTTCCCCATCATTGGGGTCTGCTTGGCTGGGAGTGCTTGGTAAGCATCAGTGCAGTGGCTGGAGGAGGCGCAGGCATGACGGTGGGGGTCAGCACCATGGGGGATCTCTAATCTCTGGTGCAGATCAGAGTCTTAGCAATTTTAGGGAATGTGCTGATTTGATAGAGAACAAAAGCCTGTAGTTTTAGCCTGAGAATTCCGGATGAAGTTAAAAAGGCATAATAATGACCCCTTGGAGACTAGTCAGGAATATTCATTCCCATATAGTTTAATTTGTTGCTTTGCGGTCTCTCTGGTGTCATCTATATGTGTATGCTGGGGAAGTCCCACTGGGACAAGGGACAGCACTAGGCATTGTTTCTCTGGTTCAATGTGTTGGGAAAACGAGAACATTTCAGCAGATAAATGGAGTGCCTGGAAGGTTGGCCATGCACCTCTCCGTGGAGTGGGGCCATGTAACCTGCAGCTGCGGCTGGATACAGGAAGAAAGGTCAGTGGCCTTCCAGCCTGCTTTTGAGTTTGGGCACTGAACTTTCTCAGTACTGGTTTTATAAAACCCAAAACAACTGTGTCATTTGTCCCTATGAAGTAGTTTAAAGAATAGTCATATTGCCACTAAAATAGAAGTACTAATTTTTGTTCCCATTGTTTATAAAAAAATGAGAGAAAACCCCTTCCCACCAAGAAAAACCAACCCTAGTTATTGGTTCCTAAGTTACATTAAAATGGAAGTTATTGCTAAATATGCTTTATTTGATAAATATTGAATTTTGAAAGTATTCCTTTAATATTATCTGTGTATTATAAGGCTTTATTAGGCTTAAATATATTCTTATTCAGAAATAATTTGCATGGCTCTATAAAAGCAATTAGTATTTAGAGATAAAATTGTGTCATCAGCCATAACCACAAAGTGGCCATTGATGACATGGCAGATGATCACAGTTTTAACCTCCTTTAATACCAAACTCTTCCTGGTTCTCTGGAACAAAAGCACAGTGATTACAGTTCAGAAAAAACAAAAACGGAAAGGGCAGTTCCTAGCCTCCCAGTTCCGTGCAGTAGGAGGAGGGTGAAAGTGCCGGAGCTGAGGCGTGGGCGAGAAGGCCACAACGTCCACACCAGGAAATTCTGTAAACTTTTCAATAGTGTGTGTTTTGGCCTTGACACAAATTACTAAATGTAACATCAGTTAGTTACAATAATTCTGTATGTATCTCATCCACAGTAATATCATCTAACATGGCTTTACTTTTTAAAGAAAATAATTGCATCTGTTTATAAAACCATATGCATGTTGCAAGAGTTGGAATGTCTTTGAGTTGGGTTACCTTTTGTGTGTTTGTGACATAGATTTATTTATTCATAGTCATGAATAATACCACATTGCCTAGATATATGGGGGGAACATTGGCAAAGTTAAATGTAGTTTCTTTTTCTGGAAGGCAAACCAAGATTCCTGGTATGTATTTTTCTTTCTGCTTCAAGGCATAGGAAAACCATTGAAATGACCCTAAAAGAAGTCTCATCATGAAACACTCAGTGAATTACGGAACTGCTGTCAATTGCCTTCTAATGTGAAAACTAGTCATTCATGATCTCACAGAAGACGGTGAGGGCCAGAATGGCATTTTGCCTTATCTGAGTATTTTTGTATTTTTCATGCTATTAGATCCAGGCATCTTAAACATCCTAGGAAATGAGACACTGGGAAAGTGAAATGTTTGGAGGGGCTGCTTGCCCCAGCTGGCCTTTGGTGAAAATACGGGGTTAGGAAATTGGTTTCCTGATCATACCTTGTGATGCTAATGTTTAAGATTCCAGCTGCCTAGCTGAGAAAATAGGGTGCCCCAGAGAGAACTTCATGGTCACTTGTGGTTCTTTGTTTGCTGTCCTTATTAATACGTAGTGGACAATCTGTGCCAATGAGCAAGGCATTCCATTTAGTAGTTGTTTCTGCCTAATTTTTAATAAGTTGAACCTTGCAGTAAAAGGAGATTTTTATCTAAAGAATTGATTGACTAGATCCGGTTACTAGTTCACATCTGAAAAGAATTATGGTCCCATGGAAAGCCTCATCTATCTGTCTGAACACAGGGTCATCATATTACAGTCGAGAAGACAAGGTGGTAATTTGCTTAGCTCCAAACAGCACAGGGAGAGGGTGGTTTGCAGTGCTGGGGCGGTGGCTTTCTTGTAGAAACACCACCGTTCCCAATCTAAATAATGTGCTGATGCCAGAACTGCATAAAGAGCAGCCAGAGAAAGAAGTTCTTGATGTTTCTATAAAGAAAACCTTGAGCAATCCTGCAGACTTCTTTCTTGTTTGTTTTCCAAAGGGGCCCATGGCAGCTCAGCTCAAGGTCAAGTTCCTGCCTGGCCTAGTGTTCCAGGCTCTGTCCTGTCTGCAACCCAGGTTCTCTCCAAAGCTTCCTGGCCCCAAACCAGGTCATTCACTGCTCCAAAGTCCAGCTGCTAGGGGCTTGTCAGCGTGTAGGCACCGAGGGCCTCACTGAAGGCCAAGTGCAGCCCTGGCCTGCGGGTTTCAGAACATCACTTGAGGTTCTACCAGGGGTCCTGAGTTGTGTCTGGTACCATTAACACAGTCGTGGGGAATTAGCAACTGCTTTCTAATAAAGCCTGATCAGAAAGTAAACATCTGGTCCAGAATCCCATCAAGGAGGATCTTTCAAGTTCACTAAAATATTAAAAGCACAAGAAGCCTTCCTTCCATGGAAGACTCCGTGATGGGAACAATGCCTAGTACAGTGCACTGCACTGCAATACACATTCTGCATAAATTAATAACTTACAAGTACCTGAGCGAATACACAGAGCACCATAGCACAGCACCGACGGCAGTAGCTCAAATTCTTGAAATAATGGTGTTTTAACATATTAAAAAAAAATCTAAAAGTTGGTACAAAAAGTCTCTCCACATGGAGTTGAAAGATAGTGCAAACTTCTGTCTTCACTGTTGAACGAAGGTGTCAGCTTGCTCCTCACTGAGGATAGGCGCTGTGGGTGGGTCTGGGCACGTGGTGTGGGTACTTAGGAGCGGGTCTGAATTGAAAGCAAAGTTGTAGTTAGAGGTCTTGAAGAGTTTCTGCAGACATGGAAATGTGGGGTGGGAGAAGTCTTTTCCTACACTCCTAGGCCAGATCCCATGAGGGACTTTTCTAGAGCTTCAGAATTCCCAGTGGTTTACAACAGATGCCACCAGAGGAGCCCTCTATAATGATACCCTTCTCATGCTCCAGTTGATTCTGGAACAGCACCGTCCAACAGAAAAAAAAAAAAAAAAAGGGTGTGAGCCACTTAGGTAATGTTTTCTAGTAGCCACATGAAAAAAGCAAAGAAATAAATGAAATTTATTAAAACTAGTTTAATCTAAATATATGTAGAGTATCATTTCAAAACAGGTCATAAAGTTGAGAGAATTGGCATTTTAGAGGAACTAAGACTTCAACATTCAGCATGTGTTTACACTGACAGCAGAGTTTGACTTTTGGCCAGTCACAAATGCCCAGTGGCTACTGGGTTGAACAGAGCAGCAGATAACCAGAGCAAAAGGAGGGCACATGGGATCCCTCCAAAATTAATGTGCAGGGTTGGGGTTGTGGCCCAGTGGAAGAGCGGTAGCCTGCATGTGAGAGGCACTGGGTTCAATTCTCAGCACCACGTATAAATAAAAGAAAGGTCCATTGACAACTAAAAAAAATTTTTTTAAAACGATGTGCAGGACAAGATTAAGTAGGCTTGCCTTGCTCTCGGTGACAACAGAGGCAAGACAGTCCACTGCTTGAGGGCATTTAAATGAGGAGCCTTTCCTCCACCGAGTCCATGGAAAGTGGTATATTTTACTTTAAACAGAATAAGGAAAGTAACTTTAAGATCAACATGTAAACCACAATGAAATAACTAGGATGCTATGCAATCTTCCCGTGTTTCTGCAGTTGGGAATTGTACTGACCCTTTGACCGGCTTTATCTCTGAGATTTATTAGGCAGCTATTTCTTCCACAGGCCAAAAATTCTTCCCAAGAGCTGTAATGAAATCACTAGTGTGTCCTCCCCTCTGGAGAGAGGAATTACTGAGCACAGGGCCCAGCCAACAGTACCATTGGTTCTTTTGAGCTTGAAAAGCAAGCGTCCTGCCAAGGGGCACACAGAGGAGCCCTGGGCCTCTTTGTGCTGGTCAGCGTTGGCCAACTCGCCAGGGGCTGGGGGAGCCACGCTGCAGTGTTTGACCATTTCCTTGGTGTAAATGCTCCCACTGTGGCCGATTCCAAGCTACCATCATCTTGTCGCCAAACATGGAAGAGCTACGAGGGACCACCATGTCGTCAGATGTCTGCAACTCCAGTGGCGCAATTAGAGCAAAGGCAGTGAAAAAGAAGTGGAAGGGATGTTCTCAGAGTTCACTGCCTGTGCTTTCCCTTGAGTTTATGCAAACATTCAACGGTAAGTATATGCGATGCTTAGCAGTGACCTGGTTTAACACCTACCTTGCAAAATTTCAGCACATTTAATAGCCGTCACCAACCAGCTTGAGCCAGCTCCAAGTGTGGAGGTCCCTGGCCCTCGCTGAAAGTGCCCTGGCGGTGCCTGCTTTGGTGACGCACGCTGACTGCTGCCCGTTTTTGTAACCATTCCCAGTTGGTTGGACTACAGGAAGCACGGCCTTGCCCACCACACTTGTCCTGCCTGAGTTGCTTTAGCTGCCTTCCCCCGTTTGAGGGGGAGAGAGAGACCCCTACCTGGTCGGTGCAGGGCGGAGCCCTGGCTCCTGCTGTCCTGGGTTTCTGGAGGCATTGGTGAGCCGCGTTGTCCTGCTCAGAGGATCAGCAGGCAGGGGCTTCTGAGGAGGGTTGGGCTTCCGAATGCCCTGCAATAAACGCAAGATGACATGGGCTTCAGGAGTGTCGGAGGCCCCAGGAAAGTGGGTTTTGAGAATGGCAAGTTGCTGTGAGGGGGTTTCAATCCTCTCACCAGAATTTTCTCTAACATTTAAAAGATGACTCAGACTCATGTAGTTACAAACATTCAAACATGGGTCCTCTGCTCCCGTGGTACTCACAAGCCTTGGGCATTAGTTGACATTGGGGTTCTCTGCCAGTGCTCCCCAGGGGATGCACACTGGCCTGTGCCTTCAGGTGGCTCTTTAATTTATAAAAGCCCCAAATGAGAAGCTGGTGGAAGTCTTTGAGGCATCTCACTGATCCCTTCATGGCTTCAGAACGGCATCATAGGACTGGCTCCGCTCTGGCTGGGCTGAGTGAGGATGAGCCTCTTTGCCCCTCCACACAAGCTCAGTACTCCACGTGCCCGTCTGCACTGCGTGGTGCCATGGCCCGGAGTTCTTCCACCCACATACTGTTGGTGGTGTTCAGAAAAGTGATGTAGCAGTTTGAGGGACAAGTAAAGCTCTCTGAGGAAGCTGAGGGGAGGTAAGCCTTGACCAGGGGCTGGTGCCTAGAGGTGGCAGGCACAGCATGAACGTGGGGGCTGTCTTACAGGGGGTTTTAGCTGAAGACCAGTGCATCTGGGATTTGTGCAAATCCCTCAACCTCCGAATCGGAATTTCTTCCTCTGGAAAATGGGAGGAAACAAGACCTATTGCAGAGCATAGTTGTGAGGACTGAATCATAATGCATAGGAAGTTCCCAACCCAAGGACAGTACTATCGGCATTCCCTCATGCCACAACTTTTAAAAAGCTTAATGGAAATATGAGAAGAGCAATGGAAAAAGTATAATAGCAAAACCTCAAGTCGTGTCTTTTCCTGGGGCTCCACCCTTCCCGGGAGCGGGTGGGTCAGTAAGTGCCATAGGCAACTCCCCCCTGGGGTCCAGGGAACTGGGAGATATCAAGGTAGAGTCTGCTTTGGGCCACTCATGAATGCATAGAAGTTCTATAGGAAACGGTGCTGGGACCTTCAGAGAGAGAACAGTCTAACAAAAAGATCTAGTGCACTGGGAAGTTGGGCTGGAGGACGGGTTGATCCCAGCCTGGGCAACATGGAAGACACTCTCAAAAAACAAAATCCAAAATTGTGGCATTTGCAGGTAAATGGATGGAGTTAAGAATATCATGTTAAGTGAATTAAGTCAATCCCCTCAAACCAAAGACTAAATGTTTTCTCTGATAAGTGGATGCTGATCCATAATGAAAGGGGGCATGGGAGGAATGGAGGAACTTTGAATTGAACAGAGGTCAGTGAGAGGAGGGGAAGGGGCATGGGGGTAGGAAAGATGGTGTGAGTATGAGTGCATGAATGGCATATGCAACCAGAGAAATGAAAGTTGTGGTCCATTTTTGCACAATGAATCGAAATGCATTCTGCTGGCATATATAACTAGTTAGAACAATTTAAAAAACTAACCAAACAACAAAGCACTATCACAGGAACTCTAAAATGACTTGGAAAGATGGCAAGATGATGACAGTTCAGAGGTACTCGGCTCTAACCTGCTGTCCCATGAGATCAAACCAAATCAACAGGTGTGCAGATGAGTATTGGGGGGTTCATAGGAACCCTCTTTGCCCCTCCACACAAGCTCAGTACTCCACGTGCCAGTCTGGACTGCTTGGTGCCATGGCCCGGAGTTCTCCCACCCACATACTTTTAGTAGAATACAGCTGCAGGTGATTCCCCAAATACTGGATTTTAGAAGAGAGTACCCTGACACCGGGATGGGCCCTGTGCTGGGAGGAAGACACCCTTCAGCAGGCTGAAGAGCGTCCCAGTGACAACAGAGTCTGGCACCTGGCGAACATGAGACCTGAGAGCTGCACCGTGGGCTGTTGCAGGAGAAGAGGTCCCCAGCGTTTCCACCAAGTTCATCTGGTGCTGCAACAGGGAGCCATCTTCAGAAGATCTCATGGAAGGGACTTAACTGCTTGGGAGGTAAGAAGTCCCTGTATTTTTTACATATCTTGGACCTAACAGCCTCTTCTTTTCACTGGCTCTGTGGTTGCCAACACTGAGAGTCAGTTTAGGTCCAGGGAAGTGACTGTGATAAAAATCTTTGGAGAATTCTAGGCAGTGGGAATTGTGGCCCATGAGGTACAGGGGAGCAGAAGACATTTCCATTTAAAATTGGCGAGTTGGCCTCCGTGAAACCAGGTGTGTTAAGATTCACAAAGGGGTTGGACCTGGGAGCACTGTGGCTAGGATTGACAGTCTTGGTTCCCACGACATCCCACCCTGGGGCAGAGGACACACTGCAATGGCTTGGACATTAGTCACACCCTGAGCCTTTGAGTCAAGGGTGTCAAATCCCATCAGCCTACAGGCTTGGTGTATGAGAGGAGCTAGCAGGAGGCTCCTACTGTCACCAAGCCCCATCCCTGGGTACAAAGACAAAAAAAAAGCCTTGAGAGTGGATTTAGCCCTTTTATGGATAACCTTACTTTAGCCCCAGGAAGGGCAAGAAGGGGGGAGCTCACCTACAGACCCCCGACTGGTTTGGACAGTGTAGGCTACAACTGAGAAGGGGGTTCCCCATTGCGACAGCCTGACCCGCCACCCGCCTCCATGCCTGGCGGATTCCAAATTGAGGTCCCAATTTGGAATCTACATTCCAAAGGGTCTACATTTTAAATACCTCAGCAAGGAAAAATATTTAACTTTTTCTTTTGTTTTCCTTTACTATTCTTTCATACTTTAATTCTATATACTTTTAAAATTAATTTTTAAAATTTTCTCTCTTCTTTCCTTCCCCCTTTTCAAAAAAAATCTTTTTTCATTAATGCCTAACAGTTTAGTCTGTTCTATATTATTGCTGCCCTTCCCTCACCATGTTAGTGGTGGTATAGATGTTGTTTTTAAGAGGTTTTTATTGTTCATTTTAAGTTGTTGCTGGTGGTGGTTTTATCCTCTCAAAGTGGGGCTGAGGATTGAACCCAGTACTTTGAAAATGTTGGTAAGTGCTTGATGCTGAGCTATACCCCAGCCTAGTTGAAAGAAATTGAAACTCACTCTATCCAAGACCTTGTCCTGCTCAAACCTTGGTGGATATCTCAACTTAAAAAAGGGGTGGGGGCGTGAGACTTCAGTTGCTGTCCCAACCCCAAAGTAGGGCAATCCTGAAGATCCACTACAGGACCATTCACCCCCTTAGAAATAACACAACTGTCATGCCACCTCACTCAGGACAGGCCCTCACCTAGGCTGCTCCCAGACCCTAGCAGACAGCACAATGCTGACAAATCTGGAGGCGTAACTAAGAGTGTACCCACTATGCACCACTGTCTGTGTCATACCTGCCTGAACCAGCAGCAGGACCCCACTCACTGGAGTCCAACAGAGAAAGGTGGTCCCTCAGGTTCTGACACAGTACCACAGTCAAAATTCACCTAAGCTTGCCTAAAAAGCCACAGGCAACCTACAAAAACCTACAATGCAAAGTCCCTTTGGAATTAAGCTCAACACTGCACAATAAGCCAACAGCCCAGGGCACATCAAGAAAAAGCTGCTGCGAGCCTCCCATAATAGAGATACTTGCAAAACTGAGCAACGAAACACAAAAACCAGGAAAAAACAAGGCAACACGGCTCCTTTCAAATCCATAACTCCCTAGTAACTGAACATGGATATTGAGGTGGATGTAATGCCAAAGAATTAAAAAATTGTTAAAATGATCAATGAATTTAAAGAAGATATGAATAAACAGCTGGAGGGAACTAAGGAAGACAATGGATATGAAGAGCAATTCAATAGATTCTGACAAAGAGCCAAACAGACATCTTGGAAATGAAAAGTCCAATAAGTCGAACAAAAAATTCAGTTGAAAGCTCACTGATAGACTAGTCAACAGAAGAAAGACTATCGGGACTTGAAGACAAGGTGGATGAGCAAGCACTTTGAGACAGTAATAAAAAAAAGTATGAACAGAACACTCAAGATCTCTAGGACAGCATTAAAAGACTGAACTTACAACCCATGAGTTTAGAGGAGAAAGTGGAACTACAGGGGAATATCATCAGAACCTCAGTGAAATAATGACCAAACATTTCCCAGATCTTGGGAATGATAGGGACATCCAGGTGCTGTGGTCATTCAGAACCACCAATAGACATGACCAGAAAAGCACCTCTCCGTGACATATAATAAGCTGCCAAAAATATAGAATGACAAAACAGAATATCAAAGACTACAAGAGTGAAGCTTCAATTCATGTATAAAAGCAGAACTATCAGAATAACACTTATCTCAGCAGAAACTCTAAAGGCCAGGAGGGCATGGAATGGTAACTTTCAAGATCTGGAATAAAACAACTGTCAACCTAGACTCCTATCTCCAGTAAAGTTACACTCCAGAAGGGAAGAAGAAATAAAGACCTTTCAACATGAGCATTTGACTGAGAGAACTATGACCACTAAACCAGAATTGCAGAAGATACTCAAAAGAAGATAGACAAACATAAGGGCATGGAAAATTATAAATCTCACTAGAAGAATAATTAAGCAAGTGAGGAATAGGGAAGACGGGGCTGAGGTTGGGGCTTAGTGGTAGAGTGCTTACCTAGCACATGTGAGGCCCTGGATTCCATCCTCAGCATCACATAATAAACAATAACACCCCCACTAAGTCAAATAAGAGAAACAATTTTCAAAACAACAAAAATAAAAACAAATGGCAGGATTTTGTAATTTCTTTAAGAACCCTGAATGTAATGGTCTCAATTCTCCAATAAAAGATGCAGAACAGTTGGATGAAAAAAAACCCCTATTTCTAAGAAATTCATCTCACAGGCCAAAAGATGCATATTAAAAGTAAAAGGATAGAGAATCATATTCCAATCAAATGGAATCCAAGAGCAGGCAGGAGGAGCTATACTTGTATCCAACAAAATATACTTCAAGCCAAAATTGGTCAGAAGA